ATAATGATAAAAACAGGCGGCAGAAGGATTATAGCGCACTGTCTCTTTAATGGTTTCTCTTTCACGTCTTTTGATCCTCAACTTGTTTGTTTATAACACAAATGGGGGTTAATGTACATAATCACTAAACACCGCGTTTTGACACCTATTTGACCATTAAAGCGCTCACGTTAAGATGACTTTAGATGTCTGCGCTCCTCTGCTCGTCTCAGTGTGTGAATGAGAGTGAATGCTGACCCGCCGCATGCTTCTGACTGCGTGATCGTGCTGCACACACACATAAGCTTTTTCGCGCTTTTAAGAGCCATTTAAGAGCGTGTACAACTGGAACGTGGCAAAATATGATGCAATAATCATTTATCTCGATTAATGCTTTTTTATAATCGTTTAAAACCGAAATCTAAATCGGATATTCGATTAATTGCAAAGCCCTTTATAATAGTGGAGCATTTTTATGCCTTTTTCTACCTCAATACTTATCCTCTCCTGCGCCCCCCCTGTGAACTCTGGCGCCCCCCTTAGGGGGGCGCGGACCCCAGGTTGGGAACCACTGCCCTATATAATAGTGGAGCATTTTTATGCCTTTTTCTACCTCAACACTTATCCTCTCCCGCGCCCCCCTTGTGAACTCTGGCGCCCCCCTAGGACCCCAGGTTGGGAACCACTGGTTTAGGCAACCTCCAGGACCGAGATTGGTGACCCCTGCTTTGAAGGGTCTAAAAGTCGGCAACTTCCCTCAGTTATGCTTATCTATGGTCGTGCATCCATCGGGAGGAGCAAAACCCTACTGAAAAAAAAACAGCTTAAATCAGCCTAGGCTGGTTGGCTGGTTTTAGCTCGTCGACAAGGCTGGTTTTAGAGGGGTTTTGGCCATTTCTAGGCTGGTTTCCAGCCATTTCCAGCCTGGTCTTAGCTGGTCAGGCTGGAAGATGACCAGCTTAAACCAGCTTGACCAGCCTAGCCAGGCTGGGTGCCCAGACAAAACCAGCCAAACCAGCTATCTCCAGCTTAACCCAGGCTGTACAGGCTGGTTTTAGTTGGATTTAGCTGGTCATTTTCCAGCTTAGCTAAGACCAGGCTGGAAATGGCTGGAATCCAGTCTGGAAATGGCCAAAACCCCTCTAAAACCAGGCTGGTCAACCAGCTAAAACCAGCCAACCAGCCTAGATTAAGCTGGATTTTTCAGCAGGGAAGAAAATGACTGATATCTATGGACCCCCCAAACCAAGGTGAATCTGTCCAGAACATGCTATTGTGTGACTGACCTCTCTGTAGGCCCTCTTTTCTGTTAACCCTCAGGTGGTCCTTCTGTAGCCCCGCCTTAGGTGGGACCCCAGGTGTAACCACGAAATCTCAGCTCATCTTTGAAAATGAAACTTAAAAAAGAGAGTTAGTGAATCCTGTATGCTTGTTTCCTGCTAACATGCTGTTTACATGGCTGTAAACAAGCCGCATCTCTGGTTATTAAGAAGATGATACTGTTATAAAATCATCTGGCAGCACTTTTGTCAAATGCAACTCAATGGTAAATCATAGATATGGTGTTTCTGGATCCAGTTTGCCTTCTATCTACCTAATTTTCATGGTGTACTGCCAATGATCATACCATAAAGTAAACAGAACTTCTGATACAGAAAGATCAGCCTTTCTTTTCCAAAAAAGTCAACAATAATACATCTTTTCAATGGAAAATGAGACTTTTATGGTCGCTACTTCCTGATTACAACTAATGATGGGGTTGTGACCTATTCTGAGGGGCCATTCACACAGCAATGTTTTCAGTCATAAGAAAACATTTAAAGCCCATTTACACGATGACTGCATTTGGTGACTGTGAATGCATACATTTGAAAATAGGTTTTAAAGTGGGAGTGGAAGATTTGAAAACTCTGTTATACTTTCCTTTTAACCCAATAAGGGTATCTTAATAAAGGTGACATCTTTCATGTGCATAGAACATGTTAACTATGTAGATATGTGAATTTGTAAGGCAAGTGCAATCCAACCAACACAACAGTGCCGGAGTACATGGTAATATTGTTGCTGGTCAAGAGTTTGCTAATGCTTCTTCAGAAAATGCTGGATTTGCTTCTCACTATTGGTGGAAACGAAACAGTGGGCACACACCTTAAACACATGCCAAATTCTAAATACACGCCAGAGCTGAGCTGCCACAGATACAAAGTCATTTCCCTACCCTATAGGTATTATTTACTAACAAGGTGAAATACAGGCCTGGTACATGCACTACATCAGTTTTGGCAAGTATTTCGGTAACACTTTATTTTAAGTGGCAATTCACAGTATTAACAAATCAGTAACTAAGACTACTAGCCTCATAAACAAATAATTAGCTGCTTATTAATAGTTAGTAAGGTAGTAGTTGGGTTTAGGTTTTAGGTAGGATTAGGGATGTAGAATAAGATCATACTTCAATGAACAGTTAATCACATAGGCGGGTAATAAGCCAGTAGTTAATAGCAAAAATTGTGGTGTAAACTAATGTGTTACCAATGTTTATTGAATAACCCTGCAGATATACAGGTTCAGGATGTTATTGCATGCTGAATTATATAGACATCTGGCTGATTCTAGTGGACAAATTGCTGATTCAACATTAAATTGTTCTCACCCATATGAGGTTATTGGGTTTAAAACTAAACCTCAACAGTGTACTTTCTCCAACTGTCTCTTCCATGTGTGCGTTCAATCCTCCCTCTTATGAGCAGCATCTGGTTAGGCCAGGACCTCTGTCAGCCAGATCCAGAGGCTGCTGGGCATCATGACAGCAGCAGCCAATGTGAATCCATTGAGTCTTTTGCACATGAGGACATTTCAGTTCTGGCTGAAGAACAGAAGCTTTTATTCTTCAAACCACCTGTCAATGGTCATAAGGGTTAAGGGCAGTGGTCTTGGTACCTTTCATTTGTGGGAAATACTCCAGTTTTTTACTCAGTATCTAACTCTTGGGGCATATTGGCTTTGCAAGACTCCATTCTAAAAGTCTGAAATACATGCTGTATGGGAGACCTTTCTTTACTGAAAGGGCCAATTTAATTGAATAGATAAAAGCACACAAAATAATTAAATCGTTGACTTGAGCTTCCAAACAACAAAAGACAAAAAGTAAATCAATCACTGCACTTGAACAAATATTGAACTTTATTATCTTTATTTAATTTCTGTCATATTTATTTGCTGGCAAATACTGAACACTAACAAACAAAAAACTAGTAGACAGATCTTAAAATGTAGATTTTACTCACTCTCCGCTTGTTTCAAAGCTGTTTTACTTTATTTCTTCTGTTGAACAGAAAGGAACATATACTAAATAATGTTGGAAAGCAGCAGCCATTGACTTTCATAGTATTGTTGTTGTTTTTGTTGTTGTTGTTGTTGTTGTTACTAACATTAATATATTTATTGTAGGTTTCCAACATTTTTCAGAATATCTTGTTCAAGAAAGAAATTCCTAAAAGTTTTGAACCACTTGACTTTGAGTAATCATAAGTATATTTACTTATGATCCCAGGAGCTATGTTTTTTTTTTTTTTGCAAATTTATTTTTTTTCGAATCCACAAGAGGCCGCTGTGTATGCTTTTAAGATCTCAAATTTCTCCCCCAAGTGTCATTCACGCCTGCTGTTTTTGTATAAATCCACCAGAGGCCGCTGTCGACTGACTGACGGACTGACTGACTGACCCACCCACCCTCCTCCTTCCCTAAACCCAACCAATAGTGTTTTCAAAGCACAGATTGAACAGCCCGCCCACTTTACTAAACCCAACCGACAGTTTTAAAAAGCAATCCAGAAAAAGAAAAGCCCTCGCCTGGTTTTTACCTCATTCTTACCCATTATTAACTTGACTCGAACCCCATCATCCTGGTGAACTCTCTGCGTCTCAAGTTCACCAATGTACATGGCGAGCCACTGGACAAACTGGTAACAGCAGAGGTGAGCGGTCAGTTAGTAAGTGCAAAATGGAACGGCGCCATACGTAGGGTTAATTTTTTTTTTTAAATGCAGCCATACGTACCTCTGGCTACATAATTCGCGATCTTTAGAAATGTATCTAGGGCTACATTTTCAGAATGAGCCTATGTTGTAATTTTTAGATAAACTCAGTATTTTAAACTCTGTTTCCTCAATTTGATCTTAAATCAATGTCAAAGTTGGTATTTCTAAAGCCTTTATATAGCTTTCAACATTCTTACTGTAAAATTAAATGGCTCATCCACAAAAAGAAAAAAAAAACAGACATTACCCAATTTAATAAAAATGTATTACAAAAAAAAATCAATAAATAGTGCAATAAATCCAACCCAGGTTCATTCTGAAAATTTACCCCTACACTGAAAAAAGATTATTCAAAGATGTTTCCTTGAATTTACTTATTTTTTTTTAAGTTAAGGGGTTGTAAACAATTAGTTTTTGTTGAATTTATACAAATAAATTAAGTTGAACATTACTAAATTAAATTTGTTTGTTTAAATTTAACACTAATAAATTGTTTGCAACAATTTTGTAGACAACATTTTTTTCAGTGTATATACATTTGGGGAAAGTGGCAAATACATCCCAGGAGCTGCTTTTTTGCAGTTTTTGTTTTTGCGAATCCACCAGAGGCCGCTGTGTGCGCTTTTTAGATCTTAAATTTCTCTCACAAGTGCCATTCGTGCCTGTTGTTCTCGCATAAATTCACTAGAAGCCACTGTCGACTGACTAACTAACTGACTGACTGATGAACTGACCCAGCCTCCTCCTTCCCTCAACCCAACCAATAGTGTTTTAAAAAGCACTCATTGACCCGCCCGTCCACTTCCCTAAACCCACCCGACAGTTTAAAAAAAAAATCCCTCGCCTGATTTTTACCAGATTCTCACCCTCTATTAACTTGTTTATTTTTTGGCTTCTGTTTTTGTCTTACCTGTTTTCTGGAACCGTTCTTCGCTGGACTCGAACACCATTGTCGTGGTCAACTCCGCTCTGCGTCTCAAGTCCACTGACGATACATGGTGAGCCACTGGACCAACTGGTAACAACGGGAAAGCCATCCACACGGAAGTAAGGTGTCGGAGGGTAAGCACAAAAAAGGAACACGCTACACCACCCCGTATCGTTCGTTTTAAAGATAAAATGCAGCCATATGTAGCTCTGGCTACATGATCCAGAAACATATATAGGGCTACGTTTTCAGAATAAGCCTATGTTGAACAAATCTCAATTAATCACAGGCAAAAAAGCCTCAGGTTATGTAGCTCATAAACAATTTATTATAACCATAACTTGTGTTCAGTATACAAATAAAACTATTTACCATCTTCACTATCCCTTGACTGTATGGTGCATTCCACTTCCATTCTCATAAATTTTAATATGTTTCACTGCAGTGTGTCAGATTGTGTATCTCTGTTGTCCCCTCTTTAGTTCTGCTTGATTTCACATGCTAGTTTTCCACCACACATTATAAGTGTCTGCCGCCCAGACAATACTGACAACAAACAAATAACAGATTCACAATATCCGAAGCCAAAATTCAAAGGTTCTTTCAGGGTAAACAAACAAGCAAAAATCTAGTTGTACAATTTATCTACAGTAGAAGAATTGTCCTGTCCTGTGGAAAATGCAATAAAATGAAAGCATCTTCCTAATGAATTCATTTCGATCTATAAGACTGGCTTTATAGTCCAAATATATTTGCATAAAGGAAAGTGGCTTTTATTGTCTGGAAATAAGAAATAAAACTGAAAGCAAGAGTCTCTCTGACAGCCGAATGTCTCAGAATAAGTATCCCTGTGTTACTGCACATCTGCCACTGTTGCTTGCAAGACTCAAATCAAATCAAGCGGACATTTATCATGCAAAGACACACTTTAATATCTTATATGATACTCCGCTCAGGATTCCTTCGATGCACATTAAACATTCAGTGTTTTTCGTTTTCATAATGCAGTTGGGGCATAAATGTGTGAGCGATCTTAATAAAACAGGAAAAAAGAAGGAGCAAGTAGTGGAAAGGTGATTTGTGTATGGAGAGAATGAAGAATGACATCTTGTGACCTCCACAAGGACTGGTGAATAATTGAAAACTCTGATTAAAGCTGGTTCTGGGGATCAATATGATCATGTTATCAGGGCTCAGACATTTTTATGTGATATGACACCGCGGAAAGACATTGCATTGTATTTATCTTTACACATAACAATAATATACATAATGTAAAATATGTGTAATGTAAAATGGCACGGTGGTTCAGTGGTTAGCACTGTCCCCAAACAACACGAAGGTCGCTGGTTCGAGTCCCAGATTTGCCAGTTAATGTTTCTGTGTGGAGTGTGGGTTTCCTTCGGGTGCTCCAGTTTCCCCCACAGTCCAAAGACATGCGCTATAAATAAATTGGGTAAATTAAATTGGCCGTAGTGTATGAGTGTGTGTGTGGATGTGAGAGTGTATAGGTGTTTTCCAGCACTGGGTTGCAGCTAGAAGGGCATCCGCTGCATAAAAACATATGCTGGAATAGTTGGCAGTTCATTCCGCTGTGGTGTTAAATAAGGGACTAAGCCGAAGGAAAATAAATGAATGAAATGTGACATTTTTAGATTTTTGTATTATAATTATATTAAATAACCATACAGTTTAAAGGTGCCATAGAATGCATTAACATATTGGGTCCTATCATACACCCAGTGCAATGTGGCGCAAGGCATGGCGCAGTAGTCTTTTGGTAGTTTCAGCTTGGCACAAGAGTCGTTTTGAGGCGTTGCGCTACGTTGTTTAAATAGCAAATGCATTAGCGCTCATTTGTGCGCCCATAGGTGTTCTGGTCTAAACAGGAAGGCGTTCTGAGGCGGCCCGCTGGCGCGTTGCTATTTTGAGATACTATAATAGATTTTTCATTAGACCAAAACTAACCCGGTCTAAACTCCGGCGCACAGTTGCGCCTCGCCTACGCACTGCTTAATATGCACAAGAGAGCAATAGGCAAATATCTTTACATATGAAAAAATTTAAATATTAAGGATATATATAGGATATAATTAGAATAGATATAGGAGATAAATATAAAGGATTAAAATATTACAAAACATATTATTTTCTAGCCTACATAAATATGAAAAATCACTGCTTTTATGTCTTCATCATCTCGGGAGACTTTTTCAGTTCATTCATAGCAATTTGCTTTTGTATAATGTTATTATTATTAGCAGTATTATTTATTATATCCATATTTATATTTGTTTTATTAAAAACAAGCTTAGATTTGCCCACCTGTCAGGTTTTAGACCATATGGGGCACAGCATGTGTTTTAGGATATAACTCAGGTTTTTGAGCACATTTTGCTATTATTATTCATTTATTCGTTTGCTGGAAATTAGAACTGAATTTAGAAATAGTTTTGAAACGAATATTTGCACTTAACAAACAAAAGTATTTATTTATAGACTAATTGATGTCTGTTCGTAAAGGTTTCCCTATCCAAGAGCGAATGTGAAAGTAGATCCATTATCTCTCATTCTCACGCAGTAGATGCTCTGTTTAACAGTTTTCAGTTAAAAAAAACTGTTAACTGTTTGCTTGTGAAATGCTCATTTTTTCCACTTAGACTTACTTTGCGTACTGTACATAGCGAATGCGCTCTTGGCACGACGCAGCTGATTCTTAAAGGGAATGGGAGATGAGACTCTAATTGGTTTATTCTCAAAACACACCTATAACTCATTAAGAAAATAAACTCAACCCTTTTAGACCATGCACCACGGCGGAAGGCAGATTTCCCTTCCTTAAATTAGCAAAAACGTGTCCTGACACACCCTGAAAGCGTTTGCGCCCTGCGTTTTGCGCTCTGCGCATGGACCGTCAAAATAGAGCCCATTGCATATTATTGATTGTTATATAACAGTGTGATATGTTCTTATTTGCATATTTTTGACAACAAGATTTATCTGAAATTGCCTATTCCCATTCATGAATTCTCTTGCGGGGCATCATGGAAAACTGTAGCGTAAATCTGATGCACACTTCAGAATCTCTCTGGAAGTAGTAGGTCATCCGGTTACTTCTCACATACTGCATTTAACATACTTTATAGTATGAAAGTATTCGATTTCGGACACAGCCTCTGTTTCAAATTAGTGTGAGGCTAGTTCTCTAGTTCAGTTCTAGAATATAAGAAAGTATATTTAATACCCCAAAAAAGTGCTAAAAAGCTGCGAGTCTACGCACCATTTTGATCATTCAGGTTGCAGGTAAGAGTGTTGGATTCTGCTCACATGAACAAAGGCTGCATTTATTGCAAAAGGCTATTGGTGGGGTCACTTTGATATCCCATCAATCACAGCCGGCCCTACACTGTAATAGCTCCCTAAGCGGTCATTGCATTGTTATAAATACTTGGCTAGAGCGACCGGGCAATGCAATTACTGTGTTTAAGAGAGCCTATGGACAAGTAACAAATGCCCTTAAAACATAATTGCATTGCTAGGGGTTGCTTTCTGGTCAGGTCTGAAATTATGCCTCTTTGGATCGATTTCATTCAAACAGGCATAATTTGAATTAAGGTTGTCAGACTAGGAGACAGTTGCAGATAAAGCAGATGAAAAATTTAGTGATTTACTCTGGTCTGATTGTTGTTGGAGCTGGAAGCTATGATGTTTACCCTGGAGCAGCTTTTAAAACAAAACTTTTTTGCAGTCAAACATTAGCGATGGAAAAAGAAGGAACAAAATATTCATGCAGCTGACCTTATTGCATATCTAAGAATAAAGATTTTAAAATGGTATACATGTACACATTTATTGGCACCAACAGTTCCATGAAGAACCTTTCAACTCCCAAACATTTCATGCCAAAAAAGTTTTTTTAAAGTGGAAAAAGATCTTCATCAGACCGTTCTTCATCAGAACACAAATAATGATACTTCCGATGGTCTTTCATCCTCTATAGACAGCAAGCTTCCTTAGAAATTCAAGGTACAGAAAAGAAACCATTAACACTGTCAATTCCATATGACTTTAGTGGTGCAACTGTAATTAAACGAAGCTCCAAGAACACATTTAAGTGCCAAAAACAAAACTGTAAAACTATTTTGATTGCCTATATATATTCTTCTGCAAAAGGCTTGGTACATTTTTACTATGGTTACTACATTGTATTGCAATTAGAGTCAGCAGGCCAACATGCAAGCATCCCATTGCCCATAGTAAACAGACATAGAGGATAAGAGAGCTCTTGGATTTCATCTAAAATTTTTAATATTTTAGTAATTAATAAAATTTAAATTTTTGGGTGAACTAAGCATTTAAAAACTTTTTTTCTGGAAACTTAAATGTGACCCAGGACTACAAAACAAGTCATAACAGGTGTCAGTTTTATTTATATATATATATATATATATATATATATATATATATATATATATATATATTGAGATTATGCATCTCATTGCCATGGAGATCTATGCATTATGAAAGTTGAATAAATAATCTTTCCATTCGTGTATGGTTTGTTAGTAAAGTACTATATTTGGTCGAGATTTATATTTAAATATCTGAGGGTGCAAAAATATCATCATTGGCTCATTCTGAAAACGTAGCCCTATATACATTTTTAGACATCGCAAATTATGTAGCCAGAATTTCGTATGGCTGCATTTCAAATACATGCTCACCCGGCAGCACTGTATTCTGCCAAAGACCAAATATACAAACATTAGGACATACAGTTTAACTTCAGACTTTTTCAAATGTTCCGAATTATGTTCAACAGAGCAAGAGAATTTTCACAATCTTCTCTATAATAATTTTTCTTCTGGAGAAAATCTTACTTGTTTTACTTTACCTAGAATAAAAGTAGTTTTTAATTTTTTTTAAAACCATTTTATGGTCAAAATTATTAGCCCTCTTAACCATATTCTTTTCTATTGTCTACAGAACAAACCATCATTATACAGTGAGTTTCCTAATTAACCTGGTTAAGACTTTAAATGTCACTTTAGGCTGAATACTAGTATCTTGACAAATATCTAAAATATTATGTACTGTCATCATGGCTAAGGTTAAAGAAATCAGTTATTAGAAATGAGTTATTAAAACTATTATGTTAAGAAACATGTTTAAAAATGCATATTGTTATTGTCTAAATAATACCACCACTAAAAGGCTGTTTTCTCTTTCATAAATGTGTTTCAGAGAGACACATTGGATGAGCAACAGGGTTCCAGCCTCCTCTTGAGGACTGGCAGCATTAGTGGAGAGGGTTCTGACCCCTGGCTGAAAGAACGAGGGCATCACCTAACAGACGCACTTCAGGTGTTGGGAAACACAGGGAGCTGAAGCGGCAGATGGGGAGGACATGACCTGAGACTGCTGGGACAGCTGGAAGCCTCACACCCCCTCCAGCCCACACACCTGTTACTTATTATGTTCAATACATCACACTTGCCCTAAGGCCCACCTTAACACAGACTCAAGTATTACTCAAGCAGTCGGTGAGTGAGCAGGATAATATTGCTGGAGTACAGGAGAATTAGTCATGAACAGGTATTGTGTTGGCTGTTGATATACTGTACCTCTTTAACTATGATATTATGTTTTTTTCAGGGCTATTTGGGTGATTTTGGCGACGCAGTTGCGCAGTATGTAGTGCTGTTATCTCACAGCAAGAAGGTTGCTGGTTCGAACCTCGGCTGGATCAGTTAGCGTTTCTGTGTGGAGTTTGCATGTTCTCCCTGCGTTCGCGTGGGTTTTCTCCGAGTGCTCCGGTTTCCCCCACAGTCCAAAGACATGTGGTACAGGTGAGTTGGTTAGGCTAAATTGTTCGTAGTGTATGTGTGTGAATGAGTGTTTATAGATGTTTCCCAGAGATGGGTTGTAGCTGGAAGGGCATCTGCTGCGTAAAACAAGTGCTGGACAAGTTGGCGGTTCATTCCGATGTGGCAACCCCGGATTATTAAAGGGACTAAGCCTAAAAGAAAATGAATGAATGAATTTGGGTGATTTCTATTATCATTAATTTTATGCAAGCTACTTCCAAACTGTTAAACATTACAGATTATTTGTTACTGTTATTTAAAAGTAACCCCTTACCATACAATGTTAATGTTTAGGAATTGTAATGTTACATTACTATGCTGTTTCTTCTGAGTTAGTTTCGCTAAAATAACTACAAAAGAAGAACTTGGAAACAATGTGTTGTGATGATTCCGAAGCCGGTTGATTTATCTGCATTGCTTTATTAATGGTACTGATATTGCAATCAGACAACAAATGGGCGATCCAAAGGCAGGTCAATAGACAGGGTGTTATGATCACCAGCTATCTAGTGGATCTAAGATGCAGATTGCTTAAGCTCTGCAAATCCGCCAGTCTATGGACCACAAGATTTAGTCATGCACCGCTCACATGCACCTGTTCCCCATTTAGTAGAATACACATGCTGGGAGCTGCTTATGAACTGATTTCAAGGACCATTTACCATTTGCTTAGTCTTGTAAGCAGTATTGTGAACGTTACGATGTGTTTTCCCTGCCTTGTTTTGCCATGTTAGACCCTTGCCTTGCTTTGTTTATGTACATTGTCTGCTGCCTGCCTTCTGACCACTCGCCTGTTATTTGACTACGACTCTGGACTCGGAACTCTGTGTACATCTGTTTGCCCCTGTGTTGACCGTTGCTTGCCTGACCATTCTTTGCATCATTCATTCATTTTCTTGTCGGCTTAGTCCTTTTATTAAACCGGGGTCGCCACAGTGGAATGAACCACCAACTTATCCAGCAAGTTTTTACGCAGCGGATGCCCTTCCAGCCGCAACCCATCTCTGGGAAACATCCACACACACATTCACACAAACACTCATACACTACTGAAAATTTAGCCTATCCAATTCATCTGTACCACATGTCTTTGGACTGTGGGGGAAACCCAGCACCCGGAGGAAACCCACGCGAAGCCAGGGAGAACATGCAAACTCCACACAGAAACGTTAACTGAGCCGAGGTTCGCACCAGCGACCCAGCAACCTTCTTGCTGTGAGGCGACAGCACTACCAACTGCGCCACTGCCTCGCCCATTTCTTTGCATCATACATCTGCATTTGTATCCGCACTTCTTTGTCAGCATCCACCTTGAATTACACAGGCAAACTTCAGGGCAGGCAGAGAACAATCACAGTCCATATAAACAAACAAGAGGTCAAAACCCAGGAGGGTCAAAACACGGGTAAAGCAAAACACTTTGGAAAAACCCTTGGTAATGACTGCAGGGCAAATCAAGACTTCACACTGAACTACACAGAACATGGGGCTTATATGGGGAGTTCAAATTAGCACCTGCTACTGCAATTAGTCCTAGGCGAAGAGGTCTATGGTAAATGGAGTCCCAATAAACCCAACTAAAATTTCCTCTAGTGGTAATCAAGGGACGAAACTAGAGCTTCATCTACAACTCTATCTATCTGTCTGTCTGTCTGTCCGTCCATCCGTCTGTCCGTCCGTCCGTCTACAAAAGCACCATTCAATTTTACTTAATATACTTGAGATTTAAAGATAATACTGATGAAAACACATTGAATGGAAGTCCTAGTCTGTTTTGTATTAATACAATAAAATCAGTGAAAAATCAGTGAGCCACAACAACTTGTATGAGAATAATGAAGTGTGCACCATCATGTTCAAGTATACAGTACTGTATTTTGCTGCAGCCTGGAGATCTCCAAGTGGGAAGGACTTACACCACTAGTTTGGCTTGTGAAAGTGGGTGAAACCACTCACATTTCGCTGTTTTCCAAAAATCTCCCGTAGAAAAATGTAGTAGATATAACTGCCATTTTCTGAAACGTCCATCTAACAAAACGACAGAAGCTTTTTAAATCAAAGTTTCATCACAAGGCCAAGGCAACCATTCAAAACAGCTGAGCGACCCACAAGATGAAAAACATTTACTTATTCAAGATAAACATAATTTCTGACATGATTTCATGTGTCTTGATGGGTATAAAGACTATGGCTGCATTCAAAAATTGCATACTTCCATACTATATAGTATGCCTAAAACAATATGCGAGCCAGTAGTATGTCCAAACTCATAGAATTCAAAAAACACTATGCGAGAAGTACCCGAATGACCTATGACATGATCTGGTGAGATTTTAAGGTGCACATCAGATGCATGCTTCGCTATCCCACGATGCACTGCAAGAGAATTCATAAAAGGGAGTGAAGCGACTCAATTGACGCGGGTAGGTCACGTGATTATGACAAAATGGCAGATGTAGTACGTCCATCCATTCTGCTCAAATACATAAGGAATAGAACATACTTTTCTAATGTCCGAGTAGTAAATTCAAATGCAGTAACTTCTGATTAGTAGTGGATTACTACTAGTAGATTAGTAGTAGATTCAGCCTCCCATGATTCCACTCTCAGTCGCAGCATCATCAAACTATGTTTTTGTTTGTTTTTGATATGCGCCCTCTAGTGGTGTTTTAAACAAAAATTGTGTTGTAACTCTAGTGTTACTTTGACATGTACCGAGTAAAATATTACTGAAAATTGATCGGTAATGAGCTGCATGGTGGCTCAGTGGTTAGCAATGTCACCTCACAGCAAGAGGGCTGCTGGTTCAGGTCCCGGCTGGGCCAGTTAGCATTTCTGTGTGGAGTTTGTATGCTCTCCCCTTGTTCATGTGGGTTTCCTCCTTGTCTCCGGTTTCCCCCACAGTCCAAAGACATGCGTTATAGGGTAAACAAAAAATGGCCATAGTGTATGAGTGTGTGTGCGTGAATGTGAGAGTGCATGGTTGTTTCCCAGTACTGTATTGCGGCTGGAAGGTGCATACGCTGCATAAAACATATGCCGGATTAGTTGGCGGTTCATTCCGCTGTGGCAACCCCTGATAAATAAGCCGAAAGAAAATTAATATATGAATGATTAGTAATGCTTTTACACTACTGCATTACACCAAAAAGTAATTAGTTACCTCAACGTATTTCTTTTCTAACATGTTACTTCCAACACTAGTAATCCTTATGATTTAAAAAGAATCCCAACTATGTGATTATAAACAGCTTCATATAATCTTATTCCTTAAATTTCACATTTTCAGCAAGAATATGAAAATGTTTGAGCATAAATGTGAATGTATACAGTTAACATAAAGAAAGACCTTAACTTTCTTAACCTTAGGGGTGTCCAAACTCTAGCTGCGTCCCAAATGGCCCACTATAAACTATGCACTCATGCACTAAGTACTTATGCACTTACACACTCAACAGGATAGTATATGTATGTAGTGTCGTCCTAAATGGCACACTAATGTTTTTTTACTAAGCGGAAATTCAAACCGTTTCCCTGATGACGTTTGACGGTTGCCAAATCAGTGAAATAAGCGACCAAATTATCAAATAATACCAGCCGTGAGTATAACCGCATTCACCATCGGTAGCCGCTATAATCACTCTCGTAGGAGAACTTTTGCTTTCACCATCCAAAATAAATAAAGTTATTCAACATGTGCGTCCGATAGCTCCGCCCCTTCCGCTACGTAAGCAAACCAGCGGTCGTTGAGTGCGTGAAGTGTCCATCATTACACACTTCATTTTAGCGGCTGAATGAGTGCATCATCCGGGTAATTAAAGTGCACTTATTATTTTTTGAGTTTTCAGTGTGAACACACTACTTGCACTATTTATACTACAAAATGGCGTAGAATGGTCCATAAGTATGTGATTTGGGATGCAGCTTCTGTCTTGGAGGGCCTGTGTCCTGCATAGTTTAGCTCCAACTTCCTTCAACACACCTGCCTGAAAGTATACTAGAAAGAGCAAAATTAGCAGGTTCAGGTGTGTTGGGCTTGGAACTTAAAATATGCTGGACACCAGCCCTCCAGGACCAAGTTGGACACCCCTGCCTTAAGAGTACAACTCTATCATATAAACACTGGACACCATATATGATAAATAATTGAATGATACAAAAGAAATAAAAGCCAAAAGGAGTTAACCATCAATCTGTAACAACATTCTTTTTTCAACGTTTTTTCATCTCTGGAACTGGTTTTGGTCTTTAGATAAAAAATATGATAAAGGTGATAAAAAAATCTAACAACACCAACAAATGCCAGAACAAGCATTCTTTCAGAGTTCAGAAAGTGGCTGAGGGACCACTAAATGAACCTCAGATTTCTAAACACTCTTCTATACTCTTCCCATAGCGCACATCTGTCTCCATTCTCAGAGCAGGTTGTCAGGAAACTGAAATGGACACTGTTCCTATCCAAGTACAACAGTGTTTTTGAGATGATGACTGAATGTGAATTTTGTTTTATTTTTTTTAAATGCGTTGGTCATGAAATACTGTGCAATGTGAGCTCATCTATAGAAAGAAGAGCCCATAACATCACACAAACAATTTTTTGGGAGAAATCTTTGGAGGCATTGTACATTTTATGTAAAAAGAGGACAATAACAACAAACTATATTAGAAATCACACCAGTGGATGTAAATGCTATGTAAATTAAGAGGTTCTGAGGAAATTAATGATCAAATTACATGCAACTTTTCTGTTTTGTTGGGGTGCGAAAAATGCTCAACCCAGGCTCATTCTGAAAATGTACCGCTATATACATTTCTGGAGAGCTTAAAAGCTTCCAGGAGCTATGTTTTTTTTTTTTTTTTATAATTTATTTATCTTTTT